GACGATACGACCTGGGTCTTCCCTAAGGATTATTTATTTCTCTTTGAACATTTTCAAGTTTAAAACTACTAACAAATCCAAGCAGAGACATGTCGCATCGGTGATATTCATGAGAAAGAATTATCTGTTTTGCCTCAGCCTGTAGTATTTTCTCGATTGATCGAGAAAATACGATGAATGATAAAAGTGCTTTAAAACCTGCTATCTTCCTCCACTCAGCTCACTTAAAATGTCACCAGAGGGATGTTTTATCACATTTTAAATTCATGTATCAAATTCCCGCCACTTAACATAACTCTACACAGGCCTACGTTCCTAGTTACCATCATGATAACAGTTTCCTCTGTCAAAGTTTTAGATTATTACACCCCAGGTGAAAAACATAACACTTCTGCCAAGCGAGGACGCTGCAATTCAGTTATTTTGTATATGAATGGAGATGTGAGCACAGTGAGGGATGTTACATAGGTCTTTTGAGTCATTGTGGAAGCTTTCTGTAATTTAAGCGAGGAATGAATAATTGTTAATGATGGGCCTTGCCGCCACTATATCGGTTAAGGACGGAATAAGAATGCAAATCTCCCGTCAAGAAGTGGTGAAGATTTTTCTCACGTTGCTCTCTAAATCGTGTTCTCGGTTTTAAATTTTGAGAATTTAGTAAAATTTTGTTTAAAATGCTCAGCCGAAGAGCAAGATGTCGAGAAGGTGTAAGAGGTTAGCAAAGAAGAGGGCTCGGATCAGTGAGTACTGGGCCTGTTTCACGGGCGAAATTTTGAAAAATTCACTTTATATATATTTGTGTATTCACGAGTCACGAGTTAAAAAGAAAAAGCTTCAGATCTCACCTCACCTCGCCTTTCTGTAAAATTAACGCATCACGAATAAGCTTGGGCTAAATCACGTCACGTTTAAAACCTTTTTGCCACCTTCGTGTAAGACAGCGAAGATTATACGATATACAGTTAGGGTGATGTAAACACGTGCTATACGGATTTCGGCATAAGAATAATCTAGGACATTCACCTTGGCCCTTGAACATACAAGATTAGGGTACCTCCGCAATTAATGCTCAAGGTAAAGAAGGATGAGCTATGTAAAACATATTTCGACAGTTCTTCTGTCATCTTTAGTTCTGAATAATACAAAGAACAAAGTTTAATTTAAATTGTATAACAAAATGCAGATTGGACAAAACAGACAATAGTAACAGAATAATGTATGCATTTACAAGGAAAATTATAAACAAGTTATGAGCCTTTATGGGCCTTACATTTGCCCTTTTTCTGTTTTCACGCAAAAAAGGGTTCGCCAATTTGTTAAGCGTTATGGCAACAACATCGATATTAAGTTGATTTTTTCATCTCTTAAAATGGGCAGTATTTTTTATGTGAAAGACCCCATCCCTCGTGGGCGTGTGTGGTTTACAAGTTTTTATGTGCGGGCCGTAATGCCTACTATGTCGGCGAAACCTCTCGACATTTATCTACACGTGTACGTGAGCACTTGGTTAGTGATAGGACCTCTCACGCCACGCCGGACCAGTATGAGCGAACAGTTCCCATATGAATTAAGAATTCCCTTCAGATCAGCGAATAATCAACTTGGTATTAATAAAAATCTGTAAAAAAAACTCTTCCTTCTATCTACAACCCCTTTGGGGAAGCATCGATATCGCGCATATTCTTAGGTAATAAAGACCCTGTTAATCCCAGTTGAGTTTGTGCGTATTGAACAGATAATACTATTCTGTATTGGAAGCAAATGAAAATTGAAGGGAATGCCAATAACATCATCGTGCTTTCTCGAAAGGATAATGAAAAGAGTAGCGACATTCTGGACGAGCTGTAACTTTTTATAAATGCAGTTCTGTATATCAATTCGATACTTTTTCATGAAAAGGATTGAACATGGTTTTGGCCTAAAATAGGACCAGTTTGTTCAATTTTTGGTTTATAGCGAGTGTTTAAATATTTCAGATATCAAAAAGAATGTTTTATGGCCCATTTCAAGAAACGTTTTCCCTCAATTATTTTAGATTATGCTAACTATTGGTGGAAATCGTGTTCTCTTGAAGGAAGTTACAGTTCGTTAAGGAGTTTTTAATCACAGCTCCAAAGTAGCAGGTTCATTTTTGTGATAACGTTTGAAAAAAACCTTCTATGCTAATGTAAATATTAAATTAAGATTTGAAAACTAGCATAATGAAGGATGTGGTAGACCCTCAAGGGTTATTTTTTTTAAATCAATTTTAAAGAAATAGACTATTCTAAATGGACATATTCTAAGAAACGTTTTCTCTCAATCATTTTAGATTACACCCACTATTAGTGGAAATCGTGTTCTTTTGAAGCAAGTTACAGCTTGTTTAGGAGTTTTTAATCACAGCTCCAAAACATCAGATTCAGTTTTATGATAAAGTTTAAAAAAACCTTTTATACTAATGTAAATATTAAATTAAGATTTGAAAACTAGCTTAATCAAGAATGTGGTAGATCCCCAAGGGCCATTTTTTTAATCTATTGTAAAATATTGAAACGTGGGCCTTAACCA